ATTTTAATGGCAACTACTCTGAGACTGAAAGGATGTGTTGTGGAGTGCCCCAAGGTAGTTGTTAAGGACCTTTGTTGTTTTCCATTTTTATGAATGACTTGCCGATGGTGTTGGACCATGCCACCATGGCAATTTATGCAGATGATATTGCATGATACGCACCAGCGAAAACAGTGTTACAACTTAATATTGTTCTAAATAAGGAACTAGAATCTGTTACTAGATGGATCACAGCAAACAACTTGATAATAAACACAAATAAGACTAAATGTATGGTCATAGGATCTAGACACTTTTAAAAACAAATCCACTCTTAAGCTTGACCTTAGATGGTACTACTATTGAACAGGTTCATGAGTTATTGGGTGTTAATGTTGATCATAAACTATCCTGGGTGAATCAGATTAACTACCTGTTGAAAAAAATGGGAAGAAGTACGGCTATTATTAGACGTTGTAGGAAATTAATTCCATTTCACTTAATTAAGAAACTAGTTCAGTCACTGGTGCTTTCACACTTAGATTATGCCTCTGTGGTTTGGTCCAACACCGATGGAAATGGTCTAGACACATTACAAATTGCACAAAACAAGGCAGCGCGCATGTTACAGGGGAGTCCGTACAGAACCAGAGTAAATCTGTTCCACAAACAGTTGTCCTGGCTAAAGTAAGAGAGAGATTGGAGTTTTCATTAACTATGTTTATTAGAAATATCATTACGACAAAAACTCCAAATGTAATTTATTACACCTTGTCTTTTTTAGCGGATAAACATGATTATGCCACAAGACAAAGTATGCATGGACGATGTGTGTTACCTGCATGCAGAACAAATCAAATGCAGAAAACTGGTCTATCGTGCAACGGTGCTATGGGATGCACCACCAGGATTTCTGCTCAGGGACAGTGATTAAAATGTTTTCAGAAAAAACTCCAAATATTTTTATTTTCCCAAAGATAATGTCAAGCTAAACATCTTCTGAAGTGAGCAGAATTTTACATTTGAAGAATGTATTTTGTTATGTTTGGGCTTTTGAGAATTGAATTGTGATTTTTCTACACTGCAATATTATGTTGAAATTAGTTGTGCGTGTGTGTGTGTGTGTGTGTGTGTGTGTGTGTGTGTGTGTGTGTGTGTGTGTGTGTGTGTGTGTGTGTGTGTGTGACTGTGTGTGTGTGTGTGTGTGTGTGTGTGTGTGTGTGTGTGTGTGTGTGTGTGACTGTGTGTGTGTGTGTGTGTGTGTGTGTGTGTGTGTGTGTGTGTGTGTGTGTGTGTGACTGTGTGTGTGTGTGTGTGTGTGTGTGTGTGTGTGTGTGTGTGTGTGTGTGTGTGTGTGTGTGTGTGACTGTGTGTGTGTGTGAGTGTGTGTGTGTGTGTGTGTGTGTGTGTGTGACTGTGTGTGTGTGTGTGTGTGTGTGTGTGTGTGTGTGTGTGTGTGTGTGTGTGTGTGTGTGTGTATGGTCATGTATGAATGATGTGCACAATATGTGTATATATATATATATATATATATATATATATATATATATATATATATATATATATATAAAATGTAATGACTGTATGAGATGAGACCCCAGGAAGAATAGCGACTGTATGTCAGCAGCTAATGGGGATCTTAATAAACAAACAAACAAACAAACCAAGCGTCGTTATAATTGTAACACTTCAATTTTAATCATGGATAATGGACCCAGAGGAGTCCTTTTAGATGAATGTATTGGTGAGTATCAGCTGATTAGATCTGTATTCACATCTAAAAATCCCCTTATTGGCAGGAGTGTTGTCCGTTTAGTGTGAGACGATCAGCGGTGGAGTGGTCATCACAAAACAGTCCAAGGCCTCAATCATGTTGGCAGGAAGGCTTTATTGAAACCAATTTCCATCTCAGTCGGCTGGAGGGTTGTAAGATTTGTCTCCTTTCAAAATAGCTAAAGAGGGATGTAGTCATTGTTTACAATCTGTGGATTGCCGAGTCTGAGCTGAGCTAACGCTGTAGCGTCGGCGGGCCAAAACGCTCCAGAGTGGTCTAGAGAACTGAAGCCAGAAAACAGGAGTAACCCAACTTACTTCTTGTACCCCGAAGAATCTTTTTGTGTTACTCTATTATCGAGTGAAGAAGGCTAGAGGCTAATATTGAGCTAGCAATGCTAACAGTGAGTTAGAAGCAAAAAGTCAGCTCTGAAAATATCTCAAGCTGCTTTTTCAATCACCAACAACTCAGTGAAATGTGTGTGAGGTGAATAATGAGTCAAGCTTAGCGTTTTACTTCTTTAACGGGTTATTCAGAACTGTAACAGCAAGATGGCCAACAACCACACTTCCTCTAATTCCAGAGACAAAATACCGTAGTAACTGTAGTAAACTGTCATGTCAACAAACTGTATATGACTCATCTCCACTTGTCATCTCGAATCTTCTGGCGCTGATCCAAAATTGGCAACAGCCATGAAACTCACAGAACGGTGGTGAGAAAATAAGTCTTTGTTTAGAAAAATGGGCTGCACCAAATCTGACCACAGGACACCATTCTTCCTTCATTATTACATATTGCACCTTTAAATTTGTAACCTTAAATTTGCGTGTCCCAGCCCACTGCACTGTCCGCAATGCATATAGGTTGATAGTGGTAATGCCAACCATGCAAGCTACTGCTAATGTCGTTGTTGGACGAGAGGGAAACAACTAAAAAAGAAACAGAATAGCGCTCACTTTCTAGGATGTACTGGGAATGTCCAGAGTTTGAATGAATACCAGATAGATCCGTAACTTGCAGTTTGTTCCAGTCTGATAGAGCACGGCTGCACAGTTCCTCGTCGATGCCACCCTGAGGTTGTGTTTAGCCTTTTGTCAGGGCTCCTGCACCACCAAAGTCTCATATGCTATATAAAGGCTCAAAGAACAGTTTCCAATAGTAAAAAAGTAAACCATTCTCTCTTTCTGGTTTCTTTTAGATGCTCCAAAGATTATGGGTGTAGTGGCCGTATATACGTGGGAAGGAAACCCGGCTAACATCAGCTGTGAGGTGGTCGCTCACCCTGGAGCTTCAGTCACTTGGTTCAGAGATGGCATCCAGCTGCCGAGTGGCAACACCTCCAATGTGAAGATCTACAGTACACCTACCAACAGCTACCTGGAGGTGATGCACCAGCCTTCTCTGTGCCCTTTTGTTGCATAGCAGCTGCATTCTCATAAGAAGAAGCTGATCTTTTATGTAGCACCTCTCAAAGTAAAAATCACGAAGTGCTTCACAAAAACAAAAACAATTCAAGTATAAAAAGATTTTCAGAATGATTTTAAAAAAAGTTTCAAATGAGAAAATGCAAAAAAATGTAGGGATGAATGCTGCTTTTTAAAGGAGACCACTGAGTCCACTGATCTCAGGCTCAGGGGGAGAGGGTTCCAGAGTCTGGGGGCCACAGCAGCAAATGACCTTTGACCTTTAGCCTGGTGCTGCACATCCTGGACCTGAGGGACCTGCTGGGGTGTAGGGACTGAGAAGATCATCAGTGTAAGATGGTGCGTGTCCATGTAAGGCCCTATAGACCAGAACCAGGATCTTGATGAGCATGTACTAGAAACAATAGTTAAGGAACTAAAAAGCTGGTTTTGTTTTACTTGTAATGCTTGATTAGGGATTGTAAGGCAAAAGTTAAGAGTGATGTTTTGGTATTTCACAAAAGAAAGATACAAAATGAAGATTGTGTGTGTAATATTATGAAAACTACTATACAGATATGTATAAATGTGTTTGTAAGATTCGTGAGGTTACTTTTGCAGAATGGTGGACATCAGGCCATGACGGTGTTTTCAGGGTCTGGGTGAGGTCTCAAGGATGCCAGTTATACTTGATAGGTCCATGATGGTCTGTGGGCACTCAGAACGCTTCTGCAGTGGTATTTTTAAATAGTGTGGAAGCAGCATAGTGGCACAATAACCAATGCAAAGTCACTGGCTCGGTCCGTTAAAGCAGAACGGACCTCAAACAACTCTGGGGATGTGGTGTGTAACTTCTCCCTGATGTGGTCTGAGAGTCCTGCCAGGAATGTAGGGGTGGGAATAGTAGGCATCTGTGGTAAAACCTTTGTGGGTGTATGCTACTGATGTATAGTTCATAAGAGAGTGCAACAAAGATTACTGGGGATGCAAACAGGTAGCTGGAAGAGCCTATTTGGTCACCAGATGATGTCTTTCACAATAACCGGTCATGACCTTGAACTTTTTCTTGGTCTGTGCACCAACATAACCAGCGAATCAAGTATTTAACTGTTCTTTTTTCTCTTTTGTCCCTCAGATTACACCCGAGTCACAAAATGACTTTGGTAGCTACAACTGCACAGCAACTAACATGTTGGGATCGGAATCCAAGGAGTTCATTCTCATCCAAGCAGGTTTGTTCACCAACAGGAGAGGAATGGCTGATAAAAAAAATCATTATTTAACCCCCCCCCCCCCCCCCAAAACAAAGGTTAACATGCACCCACAATAAGCACTTTAAAGTTTAGCTACTAAAAATCAAACAGGAACCATCTTTAATCTCCACCTTTGCTTTTGAAACTCCACTCAACAACGAGGAAGGAGCACACTGCCCAGTGTGAACGCCGCCACCTCCAGCAACATCATTCTCCAGTTCAGCAATAAAATACAGGAAAGTTGTAGTAAAAAGCACTCAGACATCCTTTTGGAAAGTATGGATGTATAAAACACAGTACAGCTGCTATATCCTGCAAGCAGCCTTTGGAACAAACTCCAGCCACTTTCAAATCATCCCACTCTTAGACACCAGGTAGATAAATTAAAGCGTGAAAGGTCGTTAAACGCATGAAGCACTTTCACAACCATTTTGACTGTTCACTGCATTTTCCAAGATCACACGGGTCTGTGGAATCCAGACGATGCCAATTACCTCCAGACGATTAACAGGGTCGTAGCTGTGAGAGAGCGGTGCATCGTCTGTCTACGTCAACGCGTCATGTTTGTTTGCAGAAGGTACAGTTGTAGCAGAGATGTAAACAGAAATAAAAGGCGAATCGTGCAAAGAGCCTTGTGAAATTCCACAACACATACAAAACAAATGAGACAATGTGAGTATCTTTTGAATTTAGCTTACGTTAGCTTGACTTTGCATGCAAATGTCATTGGACTCTTTTCAAATAGTTGGTCACTAAATGCTGCGTGGCTGCATTAATCGTGGCAACTCCCTTGTTGCTCTTGTGTGAGGTCATTTCACTGCTTTGCTGCTAAATTCATTAGCATGTCTGAGGTGACGCCCCACAACTGTGAGCAGAAAATAAACTTCCTTTGACATATCAAAAAGTATATAATGGAGCTAAACATTGCATGTGTAAATAAAAAGTCAAAACTAAGCGTTTTTGTTTTCTAATTTGCGTTCATAATGGACGCCTTGAGGCGATACATTAATTCATCAGAAGTAAAAATGCCTTTCAGAGGGGTTTGTGTGTGCACGGTCCTGGTGAGTAGCTCCAGGACATTTGTAGGGGTGCATCAGTTGCAGAGATAATTACTTTAATCCATCGCCTCTTTAAACATTCGGAGCTGCTTTGGAATCGCCACAACAAATCTGCTCTTTTTCTCTTTCTGAGTGGATTAAAACGTCAGAGCCTCTCTAGTGACCCCTAGAGATCGCAGCATTTGTTGCAGCAAAAATATGTAGTGAGAAGTAAAAATAAGAAATAAAAGTTTCAATTTTTTCATGAAAATTGAAGTTTTGAAAGAGAGAAAAATAAAAGTTTCCTCTGTAACCGTGACTGAAAACATAAATATCCACCTTCCAGCTTCCCATTCCCTCAGATGATTAAACCAGTCCAACTTCGTCCATGGAAAAAGTTCAGTGATGCGTCGCACTTTTCCTGCAGCTGCATCGCTGAGTCTTTTAATCAAGAATGAAAGAGTTTTACAGGCGTGAACCAGAACTGTATTTTAGTCATGTCTCACTCTTCCTCGGTCAGGTTGCGGCTCTTTTAGAGGCAGTAAATGCAGCTCTGCGCCTGATTAAGAAAAGGAAGTGTGAAATGTTCTGTGGTGCAAGTGCAGTCTGGAGATGGGGGAGGTCCTGCGTGTGAGAATCTTTATTTTAAAGGCTAGAAAAAACAATCTGATAATGCTAATTATAATTCTGCTGTTTTATGCAATAAAATAACCAGTAGAAGGAGTTTAAATATCAGCAGAGATGTGATATAATGAGCACCATCCTGATAAATGCCCACATCGAGCGGTCTTTACTCCTCTAACTTTCCAGGACATTTGCCCCATTCAGAAACACCTGAAACCAACCTCATGCACTGCTGATTTCATTCCTACTACCTTGTTCATCAGGATGTTTGACCAAACTGGCCCATGCACTGTAGATTTTATTTATTATCCCTTCAATCTGGCTCCGTACCATCTGTTTTCAAACATGCAGTTATTGAACCTGTCCTTAAAAAACAAGTTTGGACACATTACAGACCCATTTCTAAATGACCCTTTATCTCTAAAATATTGGAAAAGGTTGTGGCAGATCAACGGATGACTTTTCTGGAACTACACAACAGTTTAGATAAATTCCAGTCTGATTTTGGTAAAAAGCGTTCAGCAGAAACAGCTTTGCTTAAAGTTTCCAGTGACATCATGATGGCTGCAGACAACGGGGAGATCACAGTGTTAGTATTGTTAGATGTTTCTGCAGCTTTTGACTCTGTTGATCACAACACCTTCATTAACAGACTTGGTGACTCGGTGGGGATCTCTGGAACTGGTCTAGACTGGTTTAGATCGTACCTTTCTAACAGAAGTTACGATGTCTGTAGAAACCAAAACATGTCAGACTCTACTGATCTGTTCAGTGGGGTACCCCACGGCTCTGTTTTTGGTCCACTGTTGTTTCTGATGTACATACACTCTCTTGGACAGATACTTGATTCTTTTCATAATGTCTCTTATCGTCCATATGCAGATGATATTCAGCTGTACTGCTCCTTTAAGGATTCTGAGTTCTATAAACTGTCTGAACTACTAGAGTGTCTATCAGCGATCACCAGCTGGCTAGAAGATAACTTCCTTCAGTAAAACTCTGAAAAGACTGAATGTCTGATCATTGCCCCTGAGAGCATGGTTCCCCTGATTAGTCTAAAACTTGGTCATTTATCCTCTGCCATCAAGACAAACTTAAGGAATTTGGGTGCTATTTTTGACCAATCCATGTTTCTTGAAGGTCACTCAACAACGTTGGGCCAAAACTGTTTTTCATCATTTAAGAAATATCTCCAAACTGCGAAGTTTGGTGTCAAAACATGAACTTGAAATGGTTATCCATGCCTTTATCTCCTCCCGTCTAGATTACTGTAACACACTTTTCACATGTTTTAACAAAAAAGCCCTTGACCGCCTTCAGTTGGTCCAGAACTCTGCAGTGAGGATCCTAACTGGAGCAAACAGAAGAGCACACATCACTCCTATTCTGTTGTCTCTGCACTGGTTACCCGTTAACTTTAGAGTTCA